GGGACCAGACTATATACTGGGTAGCTTTATATATCAATCTCAACGTAGGTGGCAGTATTACATAACTGGTATCAATGGTTTCAAGGTGAGTAACATACTAGTAATCACGCACGGTCCTCTTACCTTCCTATCAGCGGTAACGCACTCTGTACAAAACATGCTTGTTCCTCTTCATTCAGCACTTCCTGTGCGTACTCTATGAGAACGGTGTTCGCTAACATCGCATTTAGACTTTGCAATCTCTTTACTGGACCTTGTAACTTCTCAACTTTCGCCTTCTCCACTCGTTCAATCAGACTGGCCTGTTTCTCGTCCAGTAGTTTTCTCAGTTCATCCATGCCGTTTACGATGCAGTTGTTTGTCATTTCCGCATTTGCCTGAAAAGAACCGTAGCAACGCTAGTCGCGTGAACTTACAACAAATTATGAATCTCGAATACACCGAAAGGTCAGTTGGAATTGTTATAAATTCAATTCAGCCAATCAGCAAGTACAATGACGTCATTTGTAAATGTTCCAATGTTATTCCATCGGCCAATAGAAACCTTTCGTGAAATTCAAAAATATTTGTAAAAAAAAGTCAGGAAAATAATGTTTTTGGTCTCGATAATATTTGGCGATGTCGAGTCGTTTAAGTTAAAGAGGAGCAGAGGTCTGGCTTTTGTCACTCGGTACATAATATTTGAGATCTATGAATGAATTCTGACGTTAAAACAACTTATATGTGCTGCAAAATGCCCTAAATATCAGGTATAAAACGGGCTGTGAAGCAGACTACAAACGTCCTCTTCGTCGGGCGTCATTACGTCTATAGGGGGCGCTGGGTGATGACGTAAATATTGAACATGATGTTTCAGCCATATCGCTATTGTATACACGTTCCTACTGTATTCTGGTTTCCAAAAACGTTGAATAGCCGTCAAAAAATCAAATATATTTAGTTTTTTACTATCTATAATTACAGCACGCAATCTGACCTACATTTGATTGGGATGGAATATTTTATTTTAAGCAATATTCTGAAAAAAACAAACAAGTAAACGTTCCTGCAAAAGAGTGTAATCGTGGGACTTTGTTGAAAACGAAATAAATGTAGTGTTGTGACTGGTGTTAGTATACCTGCCGCTGAATTATATCACAGACTGTCTTACCTCTATATTGACAACGGCAGTCTCGAATTTGCCAATGGCGCCCTCTATTTCATCTCGTTTGCTCTGAAGTGCATTGACGTGTTTTTTCAGTTTGTCCTAAAATATAACAAGAGTGTTAATAGTTTTTTTTTCCATGGCCGTCCATTATCATCTCAACTCATGGCTCATCACTATTTTCTTTTTAACGATCGAATCACATGTTAACGGGTCGAGAAGAAAATCGATATTAGTCGGATTCACAGCAGTTCAATTGAAAACAAATAACCGACACTGTTTCACAAACAATGAACATCTTTACTTTAGTGTGTTTTGATTCCTACCTTTAGTGCGGAGTAGGTGACCTTAATAGCATACATCCTATGCCCGTGGTGTACATTAGTTACTTTACATACACGGCACGTGGGACGCTGACAGGCATCACAATACCAGCCAACACGCTCCTCCGTGTGCTCAGTGCACATGATGGTCTAGGGTGACGTAAAACAAGAGAACACTTTAGTACAGGCGATATACAAGAGATGCATATATTGCGCGTGACGAGAAGTGAAAAAGTGTCGCTAACAACGAGAAATGTACGTGCATTGCGTTCTCCAGTGTGGCTCAAGCATGTTCCACAAAACTGCGCTTATTGGCGACAGAGCTCACAAAGCTATGTTGCAATTGTTTTATTTAGTGTGTGGTAAGTTTTAAGGTAGAATGCTACTGAAAGTTGAGAAAAAAAAAAATTATGAATTGTTTTATTTTACATTTCACGTTTACAAAGATGCAAAACATCGGGAAGGGGTTGGCACGAAATGGCGCCGTCCGATCTGGGGGAAACGTTTCGACGTCAGTCGTCCGCAAGACATCGTCGAGTGATATCGATGAAATGAATTCAGTGAGTTCTTCGCAAAATAATTCCCAACAAATCTTGGAAACATTACATAGAAATATACAGGCCCTAAAATTGTGTCTATTGGAAAACAATTCAACTGACGACGACGTAGGAGTTCTACGCGGCGTAATTTTATTGCGTTGAAAATTGCTCAATTTCAAACTGCGCATGCACACACACCGCGAGTTCTCGAAATGAATACTGATTAGGCAATTTGTCACTGATAAAAGATACTCCAGTAGTTCGATTATTTTTCAGCTCGTACCGATAGAATCAGTCGATTTAGAACTACCATGTCGGCTATCACTAAGTATTTAGGCACATTTTTTACAGAAAAGACGAATTTTTCATTGCTCATGAATATTAATTTATGCAAATGAGACGTCTTCTCAGCCAATCGTAATTGCTATATGCGCGTTTTAGCGCATAAATGTCAAAAACGTACGAATGGTGTTCGAACGCGATATAGCGAACATATGTACACACGTTTATTTCTTTACATACATGCATTTATTAACCCCCGTCTGTGAGACAGTACATGTTATTGTCAAAAGTCTCCAATTTGTCAATTTTGCTTCGGCTTCGACCAATAACAGTTACTGGGGGAGATAATTTTTGATATCTGCCTCAGGCGAGGACAATACCTGTATATTATAACAGACTCGTGGTTACATTTGAACTCCTGTCTGTAATTACACAGCTTACCTTAGGTCTAGTGTTGTCAGCAGCACAGTAACTATGGTTTGCCCGTGGGGTGCCCCATGGATGGGCATTTTTAAAACATTCGGAGCAGTAGCACTCATTGCAGTCATAGCAACGCCTGGTGGCTTCAGAGGGCGTGCTACCTTTACAATGTTGACAGTGAATAACAGTATTCTTTTTCGCCGTTCGTTTGTATCTGAGAATACAAAAAATAATATAAGCAATGCAATCCGCCAATCATTCAATTTTACACATTTTAGCCAATTTTTAGTACGAATTATTATAAAAGTTCAATCTTGTGTCAATTATTTTTGCATCTGAACGACAATTTGACAATTGTTTTCTAATTGACCACTTAGCTAGTCGAATAATTGTTTTGAATGGCCACTTAGCTAGTCGAATAATTGTTTTGAATGGTCCACTTAGCTAGTCGAATAATTGTTTTGAATGGCCACTTAGCTAGTCGAATAATTGTTTTGAATGGCCACTTAGCTAGTCGAATAATTGTTTTGAATGGCCACTTAGCTAGTCGAATATTTGTTGAATGACCACTTAGCTAGTCGAATATTTGTTCTGAATGACCACTTAGCTAGTCGACTGTTTTGTTCTAAATGATCACTATGTGCTATAGAAAATATACGAGTTGGAGTTGCGGCAAATTGTATGTAGATTAAAGTGTAAATATTTTGTTATGCTTAAAGCGGGGGAGTCGTCACTTACGCATGCGTCAGATGGCCATAGCGTGTCATTGTTTACAAACATGCGCCTACCTTTGCGTTTTTAGCACGTGTTTTTATCGTCGCCTGGGACTCAATTCCCGCGCGTGCGCAGGTGACGACCCTCCCGCTTTGTGTGAACCAGGGCAGCAAATAGGTATAGATAGTGGAAACGGACAGACAGTGAACAATTATACTGCCTCTTACTTATCAACAATTGACTGCAAAGTGAAGTTTCTGAATAGCCGATTGATGCCACTCTCACCGAGTCTCACGTGTCTGTCACACGTGGGGCAGTATATTTCGGTTGGTTTGGTGGCTTCCTTTCTTGCACCAGTTCCTTTTTGCATCGTTATGGAAATGACCATTTTGGAATTCTTCGATGAGTTCGATTTATCCGAGCCGATTGACGAAGTAGAACCAAAGTCGAACTTGTTTGTCTTCTTGAGTAAGCTGGGTGACACTACCGGTGACCCAGATGACGATCGGGTTCGTCTTGTTCCCCCATAGGACCGTCGTTTTGGGCAGCACGGGGAGTTGCTACCTGAGCCACAGTGTCCATCAACGGAGCGCCTTGACATGGTCTCTTCGAAGCAGTCAGGTGTATCAGAAGTTGGACTTATTGGAAGGTCGGGAGTTGGCGAAGATATATATGGTGATGTGGGCCGAGAACCGTTGCTTGGTAGCCGTGTGCGCTCATGACGACCAAGTGGTGAGGTTGTATTAGTCGGCGATTGGGTGCAACTGTTAGCTTTATTGGCTTTTGATCTTCTTGGCATGTAAAATAATGGTGGAATAATCTTGGTGTTGGAATTCTCGTCAACCTTTGGAGAGGGCAATGGACTAGAAGACGATACACTCCCAACTGAAGGCGAATTTGATCTATCCGCGTCTTCTGTCTGCGACTGCGTAGTTCCCATCATTTTGATAGCACACTTGTGACAGAGATTGTGCTGACATGGTAACACAAGAGGTGAAATGAAATAATCTTCACACACGGGACAAATCAGTTCTTTTTCGTAGCTGGTCATCTTGTTCCTGAAATAAACACAATATTTATGTCGTTAGGTACACATGGATGCACACATACACGTAATAAACTAAGAAAATATACGCACCGTGATAATAAAATAAATCTGTTACAGTACATTTATTTGACTTTTGACACAGACTTTACATTTAATTTGTAATACACCTTGGCGTTAATTTTTTATTAAATGTCTGCTTTTTGGTTTAATTTCTGTCTTTGAGCACTGCATTATGCAACGTGCCTCATCTCAGTGTTACCTAGAGTCGCATAATATACAAATACGTTTATATATATTACTAGTATGTGCATTGGGACGTTATAGTCAGATTATAGGAACGCCATCTTTAATTGTACATGTACAACATTCGTTTAGGTTTGGGCTAGAAGTCCGAACATTGCCACGCAGTGTATCATTGGAACGCCCTGCTTCTATACCAGTTATGTTTAGTCTAAATCGGAGAACCATTGAAGCAGAACGGACCAGAGACAACATTAGTAGGGTCACGTGGAATTGTAAGTACTCCAACAAAGTCGTGACATGTGCAGCTGCAGGAACTGAGTGATTCTAAATGACGTCAATAATTGAGTTGGCAATATTGATGATGGGAAAGTGTTGAAAATGAAGTATATTATTGACATAATAGGACCTATTTTGATATGTGTAGAAGCCGCAATACTAATGGGACGGTATACAATGTATAATATAAAAAAAATATCGCTGCTTTCCTTTGCCGAGCATACTGGACATTGATTGTTTCGTTTTTCGAAATATTTTTTGTGTGTGCTCATATACATACATTTTATTTTATTTTATTAAAAAAAAAAAAAAAAAAAAAAACATAAAAAAAACAAGAGACTTGTGTGCAAGTTTAGGGTCCATCTCGCAATGCTGCAATCAAACTGTGTGTGGGTTTAATTAAACAAGTCTCGCGCCGCGATTCCAGGACATAAAAAGTTCCGTAAGAACTTTGAGCCCGTCTACTGTATTTCGGAATAAGCACGAATCCCACAATTCGCGCACTAGTATATATTCAAGTCATTAAATATATATCGAACAATTGTTCAAAAATACCAATGAATCTATAACACCTCGGCGGTCAGCTTATCGACGCAATTAATTAAATCATGGAGCTCCATGATTAAATTACGTCATACTGTTCGAAATGATCTTACTGGCTGTAAGCGAGCATCCTACATATTACATCACAGCACACTTTGTCCTGGCGGTATGGTGAAATATGTGGTAATGTTTTACCTCTTCCAAACATGGAGCCATATATTGTTTAGCTCCACAAATTAAACTATTTTAATTAGCTGTACTACTCAAAATACAATTTGATTGTACGAGTCTTGGTTTGACGAGACTCCTATTTCAGCGATGCCAAATCACGCAACACCGAATGCATGTTCGTCGGACGACACAGCTGGGAGCAGATGTCTCAGTGTTCATTTCAGAACGACTATTTATTCCTATTGAGAAACTATCTCTGAGTTTCTTTCTTTGCGCCAAGCTATTCGCATATAAACAAAAGAACTTATGCAGATTAGTTTTATCACTTGCTCGAGTGCGAACAATACATTTTATGATCCACTTTGGCATGTGCGGTCCAGGAAAATCTTGCTGTGTAATGACCGATCTGTACTTGGTGAAGACAACAAGCAGAAATTCTTCTTCAGTGTGTTATTGAATATAATTTGTGAGGTTATACATAGAGTATTGAAGTTTCTCTTGGCGCCATTGTTTGACAGAGTACAAGTATAGGCAATGTGGATGACGTTCTATATCCGAAAGTAGGTGAACCCGAAATAAACTATGACACAGTACACACATCCCCAATTCTGAACAAACATAAACACAGATCGTGAAAAACTAAATGAATGTCGAAACACCGTGCAACTCATGAACATGTACTCACCTTGCCAATAAAGATGACCTGGCAACAACTTAACAGGTGTCACGAAATATGATGGTAACGTGTAGGGATCCCTAACTCAATGAAAACTTACATAATTGCTCCGGTGCCGCTTAACTTGGTAAGGCATTTAATCGAAGACATTCTAAGGGAATGACCATTTATTATTCCGGGGGTCCGGGCAAAATAGAAGGCGGGGGTCAGCATATTTTCCAAAGCCACAAGGAGGGGCAGTGACTTTTTACTAAGGCTGGGGGGTATTTTTCTCTTAAAGATTGAGACACATTTTTTTTTTTACTTTACGCCTTTTTTATTGAACACAAAACAAATAAACTGAATATATTATAAGGTTATTACGAAGATACCTCAAAGTATGCACAAAGACAGTACAGCGGCAGTACCGACCGACGCGCATCGGATTGTACACCCAAGAAAAGTGGCATTGGACCCACTACCATAGTTACCACTTCCACCTACACCAGACCAGCTGCCACGTTGGTACTATTACACCGTGACGGCACTGCATACTTCCCGTCCCGGCGTTCGCAATTTATTCACGCCTATTACGTTTATACACAATATTTATTAATAATAACAGATTACTATTAGATGCGATCAGAGGTACATCTTTGGTACGACCGACTGTCGACAGTCTAGGCAAAGCCCACGCCTCTCAGATTCTTTAGGTAGACGAAATGCGCAATCGCAGATGGAATGTCTCAAAGCACGTAGCTGAGCCAATCTGATTAAAATCTGATGTAGTGTACGGGCTTTAATTATTTTGGCTATAAACTTATTTTAATTTTATTTTTTATTACTTTTATTAATGCCCTTTTATTTTATTATTTTACTTTGATTTTGATTTTGTGATTTTTTTTTTTAATTCCGCCCTACCTACATCTGACCCGATGCCTATGTAACGAGATTTCAACGAGAGCCACTATCGACGATTTTAGTCAACGAATCACAGACCTCCTTCTATAGCGCACATGATGACGTCACCGGGCAGAGTCGGGTGGCAAACACACTCAACAAAAATGGCGTATTAAACCGACGTTAGCGATCGAGAATAACACGGCTTTTCGGTAAGTTTATCATTGTCAAATGCAACGAAAGTCATTTTTATGTTAATATTGTGGCTCGAATGGTTCGACTTTAGATTGTTATTTTGCATAGTTATTCTGGGAGTGACGATTTTGTTTCCACCGGTTCGACCGAACACCAGTATCTTTTTCCAGTCGCCTGCCCTGAGACGGGTGATGTTTTGTTGACGATCGGGCCAAAATCGTCCACG